CATGCGCTCCTCGGCCGTCCTTGTGACCCAGGCTTGCCCTCGATTGCTCGCCACAACAAGTCGCCATTGTCGTGCCCGAGGTCGCCATTGTAGCTCCCGACGACCCCGTGGTTGCAGCACGGGGGCACATTGTGGCATCTCCTCCACCAGCCGCTGTTGCAGCGCCGCCACCACCTTTGTCCCTCGCCCCAGCAAATCGACTCAAAGGGAGGCGATGGGTGGGGCTGTTGGGGCAGGGGACTTGGAAGTGGTTGGTTAGCTTGTGTTACGTGTTATGGAATGGGTATGAAAATTCTTAAAGTGATATGAATCAAGTGACCCGTCACAAAGATTGATCGGTCAGTGATGACATGTCATCAGTGACCTCCCAATGTGGAATGACCGGATCATATCTGACCGGTGACAAGTCATCAATGCCCCTGTAATCGCTATCAGCGTTGAGTTGTCCGCCAATTGGCCGGTCAATGATGACTTATTTTAAATAGTCATGAATGATGCACATTTCGTGTCAGTCAATGTTGACCCTTATCACTGACATGGGGCCAGAGACCGGTCAATGATGGGGGGTCAGTAGTATACCAATCTATAGTAGTGAGAGGGTCATCTAGCTAAGACACTTGGGATCAGCTCTCAGTTGGAATAATCTCAATTTTAGCGACTTTCGCCTTAGCACCACACTCTCAAAATATTTAGCATCACCCTGGGTTGCATTGAACGTTGGCCAATGTTGCTCATGCTCTAAGACCATCTTCAGCCCCCCCCCCCATAGACACATATAAAACCTTCCACTGTGGGAAGTTGAGACTACTTTGGGCATGTCTAGTTCTCCTTTCTCATCCCCAGATTTCGTGATCACAAAAAATCACCCCAACTCCCTCTAAATAGGGGGGAGGGGGGTGCAACTCCCCTGATATTCTCTCCCGGTTGGGGCCAAGGCCAATCGTTCCTTCCCGGCAGATGCAACCGCCACACCTCGCCAACTCTCAACTCAAAACCCCGCTGCTCGCATGGAGCTACCGCTGAG